TTTTGTATATAAATATGTCACCATTTTGTTGTTCGAAAATTGAAATTGTTGATTTGATCAATCCTAGCGGGAAATGTTCTGTAATTTTACTTCCAGTTGAGGTATTTTGGATAGTTAGATGTAACGACCTGCTTATTTTTTAGCTGAAAAGTTTAATACCTCTTAAGTCATCTGATAAAACTCTTCACATAGTGTCAAATCCTCAGTCTATACAACTTCTCATGACTTTTGAGGCGAAATGATCAGCAGAAAGCCAACCTACAGGACTGTACTCAGGGCTAACTGTCATAAATGATATAATATTAGAACATCTTTAGATGTATCCCGATCATCTATATTTTACAGGACGTCAAAATATTGGTCACAGAAGATTTCATGACCATTTAAAAAATCACTGCAGCAACTCAACAATACATTGATTGATATGCAGAGTTTGTATATGAACATTACACTACAATTTCATGTAAAATTGAATGTAAAATAATGAACATATTTTGGTTAAAATACCAAATATATCTTGTAACACGCTTCTGAATGGCTTCAGTGCTATTGATGGACAATGGGCAGGAAGTTCATACTCCAATGCAAGCACAAGTAAACTTTTTACAATGAGATACTTTTAAATTGCTTTTACCTTCTTCCTATTATAACTTACTATCTTTGTAATACCTTTATTTTACCATAGGTTGATATGAACAAAATGGTGCAAATAGTGTCTGTTATCATGCTGACAAGGTCTGACAAACAACCTGATCGTGTGGAAATATCACCTGAACAACTTTCAGCAGCTACTGTTGAGGCTGAGATATCCTTGGAATAAACATTCACCTTCAGTGAAATTCTTAATGACAGCAAATTCATGATTTTACTATCAAATGTTGTTAAATTACTAAACTTGATTAAGTAAATATAGTTCATTTCTAATTAAACTATAACACCTAAAAATTGACAGATAATGGCAACATTGTTTTGATTTTTTAAGTTCTCATTCAAACACTGTCCTAGTACTAGTGAATTTAATTTTGAGTGTGCATGTCTTGGGCATGCCTTGACTGATCTATGTCAAACTTACATTCCATGATACATGCAGGCCCATTCATTTCATGATCAGGATCAAGGTGGACAAATGGGGGTGGGGGACATTATTTTTGCTAAAAATTATTTACTGGTCGCCATTTTAATGATTGCCATTTCAGAGCCATATCTCTGACATGCCTTGACTTACTGCAATCAAACTTGACTACAAACTGTTATACATCATGTCACACATATTAATAATTAACATGCAAGTTCTGATTTAATATGATTGACTCATTTCAGTTTTGTTCATTATTGAAAGGAGACATTTCATCATCTCATTACCGGTTTGTGGGTATACCTGGTGGTCTAATTCCAGTTGCCACCATTTACTCTAATGGACTATTTTTTACCTTACTAAACCCACAGATGGTTAAGTTGCGTGATAAAGTTATTATTATTAATTAAGTTGTCTAATTCAGTTCAAATTATGTAGTTCTTGAACGATGTCAGAAAAAAGAAAAAAAATGTCACTTGAAAATTATAGGTACACGTTTTTGTTGTATCTTATGCAGTGAAAATTTATTTATAGCAAAATCAATTATTGCAATGTGTTGTAAAGCATTTTTAGTTACATGAATTGGCATTACCAGTAATGAGTTGGCATACTGATTGTGGACATACTGATTTAATAAGTGGAAATGCTGATCTAATGAGTGGAAATACTGATCGAATGAGTGGTAATACTGATTGAATGAGTGGTAATACTGGACTAATGAGTGGAAATGTTTATCTAATGAGTTTAAATACTGATCTAATGAGTGGAAATACTGATCTAATAAATGGAAATACTGATCGAATGAGTGGTAATACTGATTGAATGAGTGGTAATACTGATTGAATGAGTGGTAATACTGAACTAATGAGTGGAAATGCTTACCTAATGAGTTTAAATACTGATCTAATGAGTGAAAATACTGATCTAATGAGTGGTAATACTGATCTATTGAATCACAATACTGATCGAATGAGTGGTAATACTGGACTAATGAGTGGAAATGCTTATCTAATGAGTTTAAATACTGATCTAATGAGTGGTACTGGTAATACTTATCTACTGAGTGGAAATTATAATCGAATGAGTGGTAATACTGGACTAATGAGTGGAAATGCTTATCTAATGAGTTTAAATACTGATCTAATGAGTGGTATCGGTAATACTTATCTACTGAGTGGAAATTATAATCTAATGAGTGGAAATAATGCTCAAATGAGTGGTAACACTGGACTAATGAGTGGAAATACTGATCTAATGAGTGGTAATACTGATCTAATGAGTGAAAATACTGATCTAATGAGTGGAAATGCTAATAGTTGTTACCACTTTAACCCATTAATACAGATTAGCAGAACTTTTTGAGAGACCACTTCGTGTTGTTGGATGGTACCATTCTCATCCACACATTACTGTATGGCCATCGCATGTAGGTAAGTGACATATGTTGTCATGACAACAGGCACTGAGCAGGTAGTTAATTTTTCAGATTTTCACAAAACGGGAACCAATGTTTGTCAGTATGTGAGAATTTGCAATCTTTGATGATTTGATTTTGTGCATATTGTGGGGTAAAGTAGGATTCACCAGAATCCTGCTGTGTTTTTAATACCTGTGGCCCACAGTAATTTGGAATAGAAATGATTCTTTGTGAATGAATGAATTCATGTACATAGGAAACCTATTCAAACACACGACTAAATGAGAAGCCATAGAATCACCACTGAAATGCATTCAAACATTTATTATATATTTCCTGTATTTCTTGCAAATTCATACCATCACATATGTCACATAATACCTCTCGAAGATTATTCTCTGTGCAACTTTAAAAGCAGTCATTATGCATATGCTTTGAGACATCTTGTTCATATCTTTTGTCACAAAACAATGCACACTAATTATGCTTGATGTCCATAATAATTACGGATTGTTGTTAGTTGTCTGCTAAACAATGTAAGATTACATTGTTGATATGCTTATTTCTATATGCAAGATGTATTGACCCAGGCGATGTATCAACGCTACATGGATGAAGGATTCATTGGCCTTATATTTTCTTGTTTTAATAATGACAAGCAAACTAACCATGGTCGAATACAAGTCACATGTTTCCAAGCAATTAATCAGAGTCCAGAAGGAGAACCACCAATGTGAGTGTACATTTTTGTGTGTATTTTAATTTCTTTCCTTTCGATTTCCAACAAAGACTTCTTTAGCTTGTGTCTCTTTTCTTTGCTTCCAATTACTAAATCTATTAAGGTAATGAATTGATAACCCACAAATTATATCTGTAGGTATGAAAGATTGGAAGTACCACTGTATATTAATGCAAAAGATAGTATGTCTGGACCATGTCTGGATGCACTGGTAGAATTACCAAGAATATTAACACAGGAAGAATTACATGCTTATGACAAAACACTAGTTTCTGAGAATAAAGATCTATTGACACAGATACACAATGGAGCAGGTATGGTGATAATATGGGACAGATATTGAAAACAGGATAATATGGGATAGATATTGAAAACAGGATAATATGGGGTAGATATTGAAAACAGGATAATATGGAATAGATATTGAAAAGATGATAATATTGGATAGGTATTGAAAAGAGGATAATATAGGATAGATATTGAAAACAGGATAATATGGGGTAGATATTGAAAACAGGATAATATGGGATAGATATTGAAAACAGGATAATATGGGGTAGATATTGAAAACAGGATAATATGGGATAGATATTGAAAAGATGATAATATTGGATAGGTATTGAAAAGAGGATAATATAGGATAGATATTGAAAACAGGATAATATGGGGTAGATATTGAAAAGATGATAATATGGGATAGATATTGAAAAGATGATAATATGGGATAGATATTGAAAAGATGATAATATGGGATAGATATTGAAAAGATGATATGGGATAAATATTAAAAAGATGATAATATGGGGTAGATCTTGAAAAGATGATAATATGGGATAGATATTGAAAAGATGATAATATGGGATAGATATTGAAAAGATGATATGGGATAAATATTCAAAAGATGATAATATGTGGTAGATCTTGAAAAGATGATAATATGGGGTAGATCTTGAAAAGATGATAATATGGGATAGATATTGAAAAGATGATAATATGGGATAGATATTGAAAAGATGATATGGGATAAATATTCAAAAGATGATAATATGTGGTAGATCTTGAAAAGATGATAATATGGGATAGATATTGAAAAGATGATAATATGGAATAGATATTGAAAAGATGATAATATGGGATAGATATTGAAAAGATGATAATATGGGATATATATTGAAAAGATGATATGGGATAGATATTGAAAAGATGATAATATGGGGTAGATATTAAAAAAGATGATGATATGGGATAGATATTGAAAAGATGATAATATGGAATAGATATTGAAAAGATGATAATATGGGGTAGATATTAAAAAAGATGATGATATGGGATAGATATTGAAAAGATGATAATATGGAATAGATATTGAAAAGATGATAATATGGAATAGATATTGAAAAGATGATAATATGGAATAGATATTAAAAAGATGATAATATGGGATAGATATTGAAAAGATGATAATATGGGATAGATATTGAAAAGATGATAATATGGGATAGATATTGAAAAGATGATAATATGGGATAGATATTGAAAAGATGATAATATGGGATAGATATTGAAAAGATGATAATATGGGATAGATATTGAAAAGATGATAATATGGGATATTGAAAAGATGATAATATGGGATATTGAAAAGATGATAATATAGAATAGATATTGAAAAGATGATAATATGGGATAGATATTGAAAAGAGGATAATATGGAATAGATATTGAAAAGATGATAATATAGGGATAGATATTGAAAAGATGATAATATGGAATATTGAAAAGAGGATAATATGGAATACATATTGTAGAAGGAACTAGTATTGTTGTACCATATCCCTGGTAATTGTGAAATATTTGATGAAACTATAATGTGACATACTGTAAAAAATCTTAACTGTAAAGCACACATAAACTAAAAGATCTTGTACAATTAATGCTTTTTCTTTCTATGTTTCAGTCTATACTAAGTCACTGAGTCATTTGATGGAGGTACTGAGTGCACCATTATTACAAAGTCTGGAAAGTCGGCTGGAAAGGAATAAAATGAAAATGGAAGCTTTAAAAAAAGAAAAAGAGGAACTCTTGAAAGAATTACAAACATCATGATAAAGACTGAAAGCTTGTGTGTTTTATTCTTATTGGCTGATTGGCTGCATACAAGTGAATGTTGGAAACATAAACAAATCAGAAGCTGCCATATAAAGCTTAAAAATAACAAATAGTTTTGTCTTGTACAGTATTTGCCCCTGTTGAATACAGTATGTGTAAAACTACTTTGTGTCTTCAGAAAGTCTGATCCAATGATTATGACCATTATGACACAATGTGTCAATACAATAACTGAAGCTATGGACATTGATGTTTTGGTTTGCTGCATGAATGTATTGAACATTGACTGTTTTATGGTGAACAGACAATATAATGTAATTACTGTGAATCCTTTGGTGTGCAATAATCATGTACAATACAATATGCAATTTAAAATTTTGGGAGCGATCGATTTTGAGATGTGTTTTTAGATTGATAATTAATGATTGCCAGATTGTCCTTCATGGTACATTACTCTGTCACACAATATGATTGCTAAATGGATGGTATATTTTTCTTTATGCTGTCATTCATTAACCCCCCACCCCCTCCTCCCCCCACCCCCTCCTGTTTTACACTATCCCTCATACTACTTGAGGTTTCAACATGGATGTACTATTTGTATGTCAATTAGTAGAGGTCATATACAAGTCGTTAATCCCTGGCCCAAACATTCCCAAATTATTTGTAAACACAGGTCAAAATGTATCACAGTTAGCAAAAAAAGTAGCAACAATATATTTAAAAATTAAAATATGAAATATTTTATGTGTATTATGGGCATGCACTATGTATATTAATGTTTATCAGGTAAACTTTCTTATTATTGAAGGTCATTGATAAATGGAGCATTCTACCTTGTAAATAAGTGGTGAATGCCATTGGCAAGGAGAATGATATATTTTACCCAATGATGTTTTTGTTATATGTGTAACATTTGCAAAATCTAACAATTTTGACAGTTTGCATAGCTACAAAGAGTTTTCAATTTATTGATATCATCACTCAGATATTGATAAATACTTTATATTGCTGTAAACAAAGATGTTTTAAATACATTACTTGAAATTATTATATAGTGCTTGTTTGTGTCTTCTTATCCTTTATATAAATGTATAATGAAAGTGGACTAAATTGTAGGAATGTCAGAACAGAGAATTTAGATGAGTTTATGACTGAAGATTGTACAGAAAAGTTTCCATGTGCATTAACATTTGATAGAAATTATTTTGAGATGAAAAGGTAGGTTTGTTAAGTTATGAGGTTAGTTGGTATGTTTGTAGGTTAGTTAGAAATGAAAATTTGAGAGATGATTTTAAATGTCTTATCTAAATTTGATCACATCAAGAGCATTGAAAGAACTCAGAGTTCACTACAAAACACGTACAGGCAGAGAAAATACTCCAAGGGGAGGGGGGTAAACTAAAATTTGGTTAGATTCTCAAATAGCCTTGTTAGCATGACAGCTAGAAGATACCAAGAAAGTCAAAGATACTTGAGTATTGATGATCAAAATGATGGTCACAATTTCTGGCAAATAGTCAAATTACTTACAGCTTACAACCTGTGGGCATTACAACCAATCATATGAATATTTAAATCTTGACATTACTAACAAGTATGATTTAGAGTTTAAATTATGAATTAATGACAGGGGGTGCATGACAAATATTGTGCTCAATACAGTGAAAATACACCTATGCAGGAAAACAACAGGTACAAAATTAAAAAAGCTACATTATGTTTTTGATTTTGTTTAAATAATATTTTTCGAAAAGAGGAGGGTGTATATATGCTGTCTTCATCGACTTTTCTAAATCCTTTGATAGCATTTTCAGTTTTATTTAAATGGATTGAAATGGAATGTGTTAATTTGTTTAACAAATTTATAAATATCCACTGTAATCACTAGTAGATTCCCTGTTGTGGTTTTTGTAATGAGTAGCATTCACAGTGAGTAGGGCTTTGTCGTAGTAACTGGTTCTTTTGTCTGAGTTGACAATTTATGTTTTATGTGTCATAAGCAACTGGTGTTATTCCAGCAATACCATACTTAGGAG